AGGAAGAAGCAGGAATTAAATGAGCGCCAAGCAAGCCCACACCCGAGCATGGCTCGGAAACAACCCCTTCTAGCGCTGTACTGTCTTCTGGACCCCCTGGGGTCATGGCCTCACCTTTACCAGGTGGGGCAGAGCCCTTCTCGTCCAAGTAGGCCAACCCCTAAGGTTTCACAGGGCCGCCCTGGCCCCCCCCTCGGACAGACCCTTGTCTCTCAGGGTCTGTGTGGCGGTTGGGTGGCCGGTCAAAGGGCAGGGCGTAGCTCTAATGACCTCTGAATGGATTGCCTCCAGATTCTTTTTTCCATTTTCTTAAAGAATATCTCACGTTCACAGCTGAATAGCTCTATGGTTCAGTGCTGTAAGACCTAAGAAGCCCCGCAGTCTTCCTTCATCTCATCTAGTTTTTCCTGGCCTTTTTAGTTCCAACTGGCAGTGTCTTTGATGGTACAATCCCATATCTAATTTCCAGGTTCTCTGAAATGGCTTCTTAAACCTGTAAATCACATCCTTGATCTCTTTATCAATTTTTTTTTTTTTTTTACCATATCCTTTTTTTTTCTGGTACCGAGAATCAAACTCACGACCTTGCGCTTGCCAGCAGGCGCTGTGCCACTGAGCTAAATCCCCAGCCCCTTACCATATCCTTATTAGACTACATAGACTGTCTCCAAAAAAAAAGTTTCAGTTAAATCTTTGATTTCATCACTTCCAAGCTCTACCTTCTACCATTTGGCTGCTGAGCCAAATCCCCAGCCCCCCGAGGGTGACATTCTTGATATAAACCATACCAATATGTAATGCATCTCTGGAATACTGTTCAGTCAAATTCTCTCCCGTGTTATAACAAAGGTCACTTTTCTTCCCATTTCCAATACTGTGTTTCAGAACTGGCACCAGTGCTGCCCTTAATATCCATACACCCAACATGCACCTCAGAACTCTTCCAATCCTCACCAATTAGTTCCTAAGCCACGCCCATGTTGTAGGTATCTGTTATAACAGCACCGTATTTCTTGGTGCCACAATATGTATTAATCTGCTCTGGAGGCAGGGGAGTCCAAGATCAAGGTGCCAGATGATTCGCTTCCTAGTGACGGAGCCCTGCATTACTAGCAGGTGGCTGCCTTCCCACGGCACACATGCTGGTGTTTCCCCTTTTATTAAAAGGGCACTTATGTCATTGTGAGGGCCCTACCTCTGTGACCTCGTCTAGACGGAATCATCTCCCAAAGGTTCCACCTCCAAATAGCATCACAGTGCTAAAACAGGAATCCAGGGCGAGGGCACAGCTCAGCCCACTGACTTCCGCAGGAATTCTGTCACACCGTGTCACCAGTGCGTGGAAGATGTACGTCTCAGTCACTCTCCTCACCGAGATACAACGCCTGACGCCCTCAATTTAAAGCGGAGAGACTGATGTTGCTCATGGTCACTGTTCATGCTCTGCTGGCCCTGGGCAGAGTCAGCAAGGCGGAGCGGCGTGGTGGAGGACAGCTGCTCACATCATGGTGGTCAGAAGCGGAGAGAGGAGGGAGGCACCGCGCCCTTCCAGGTTATGTCCCCAGCCACCTGCCTCTAACCAGACCCCACCTGACAGCCAATCATCTGCCAGAAGCCCGAGGGGGACATTCTTTTTTTTTCTTGGTCTTTTTTCCGGAGCCGGGGATCGAACTCACGACCTTGCACTTACCAGGCAGACGCGGTCCCGCTGAGCCAAATCCCCAGCCCCCCGAGGGCGACATTCTTGATATAAACCATACCAATATGTAATGCGTCACTCTGACCACACACAGAAAGTTAAGAACTCATGACTTTTCTCCCCTAAAATGACAGCATGTATAACATCCTAGGTACCCCCTTTTTATGAAATGTTGTGTTTTGACAACCTCATCGACATGGAAGTGACAGAGGGAAGACCATGTCGTAGACAAGGCCTTGAATTCTGGAGCCTGCATTTCAATCTCAGTGCTACCCTGCCCGCTCTGTTACCCTGTACAAACGACTTAGCTTATGTGCCTAGTCCTCATCTGTAAAATACTGGCATGATCTCTCTCTCAGAATTAAAGAAGGTGCATGATGCCCTCAGCTGAGCATGTACACAGGAAGCATCTGTTATACATTCTCCGAAAAAGGCAAAGTGCGTATGGTGAGGGGGACCACAGCACCGCGCTGAGAAGATGAAGCAGCACTAAACTCGCTCAGGTAGCCGGTACAGCTGGTAGCACAGGCGGTTCTATCATTTTTTTCTTTCTTTTCCTTTTTTTCCTCTCAGCACTGGGGATTGAACCCAGGGCCTTCACATTAAGCTACATCCTCAACCTTTTAAAAATTTTCTTATTTTGAGACAGGGTCTTGCTACATTGGTAGTTGCCCAGGTTGAGCTTGAACTGGTGATCCTCCTGTCTCAGCCTTCTAGTGCTGGGATGAAAGGTGTGTGCCTCCATCATTACTTTCCCTAGAATGGTCCACTTTCACAAGAATGTCTCTTTCCTGGTTTTAACAGCGGATTCTTTGGCTTATAAAGGTCCCCAGAGGAAATCTGGAGGAAAACTGACCAATTTATCCAGAGGAAAAAGAAAGAGATCAAGACAAGTGAATGGAAGAGTTCTTGTAGAACTCTGCTGCTTCTGAAGTGGAGTGCTGGTCCTCTGTCCTGTTTCTCAGAGTACTTCGAATTGATCGTGTCAGGCACAGGTGGGACTTTAGAGCCTCTCTTTTTGCAATGCTTATTTAAAAACTACAAGAAAGTCAGTGCTATTTTGTGAAGTATGTACCAATATGGGCGAAGACGGAACACTTTTTTCAGTGAACCTCACTTTTTTCAAATAGAGTGACTGAAGTTACTGTAAATATGCTTTTTTTTTTTTTCGTCTTTTTGAGACAGGGTCTCACTATGCAGTTCAGGCTGGCCTTGAGCTCACTTTGTGGGCCCAGGCTGGTCTCGAACTCACAACGATCCTCCTGCCTCAGCCTTCTGAGTGCTGGGATTACAGGGGTGTGCCACCACGCCTGGCATTGTAAATATGGTTATAAACACTACGGTACATGGTTCTGACTATTCTCTTCTCAGAATGTGAGTTGGCAAATACATTTGTGCTCAGATACTTGGTTTAATTTTGTAAGCAGTTTCAAAGATCATGCTATACCGGCTTTTTGTGCTACAAATTTTACAGTAGTCTCCAGCCCAAAGCAATAAAATCTGACCTGCTTAGTCTAACATCATGAACTATTTGTAATCTTGTTCGTGACTAATACTTTAAGAAAAGATGTATTTGTGTTAAGGCTTCTAGAACTCCATGAAAACACAACGTGATAACTTACTAAAAGACCACCCAACAAGAACATCTAATTTCACATCAATTTGCATTTTCTTGGCACAAATGCATATCATCAACCAGCTTTTTCTTCTAAATGGAACGATGCTTTCATTTGTTCTATTGTTGAGACTTCAACCCTAAATTTAAAATACAGTGCTCATGTTTTTGTTTTCAAAATAGTCTTTTACTAAATCTAATTTTTTTTCACCTGACAGTTAAGATATACAAATGAATGCTATTAATTGGATATTTTTTCTCTTAAATTTTATAGCTGTCTCTTTCTTTCGTTCTTTCTTTCTTTCTTTGTTTTTTAGGGGAATCAACTCTTATTTTACACATTCAGATTTGTTTGAAATACTTCTTAAGGCTACAAACAGAACATAGCCTGCTGTGTTTCAATGGATTATGAAGATGCTATCAATGCAAAGTTCTCCTTCTGAGAATTTAGGACACTCCATGATTTAGTATCTTATTTTTAAAAGTTCCATGGCAGCTGATTCATGTGTCAGACATACATGTCCTCAAGGAAACTGAGATTTTGCCCAAGTGTTCACGTATTAGTGGATAATTTCTTGATCTTTTCCCTCTATTTAGAATTGACCAGTCCACTCTCTTCACACTCTAACTTCTACAGTAGAACTGGTAATACGCAATTATAACACACACATGCACACGCACACACACTTTAATATACCAACAAGTTGCTGGACTACAGGTTTTCTCCTACCGTAATGTTCCTTTTACCTAGCAAAGTACATGGAATGAGCAAAACAAATACCTTCTAAATTAACAAAAAGTTAGCTGGCATTGTGGTGCATGCTTATAATCCCAGCACTTGCGAGGCTGAGGCAGGAGGATCGTTGCAAGTTGGAGACCAGCCTGGGCTGCAAAGTGAGCTCAAGGCCAGCCTGAATTGTACAGTGAGACCCTGTCTCAAAAAGATTAAAAAACAAAAGTGTGAGTTGGGTGTGGTGGTGCACACCTGTGATCCCAGCACTCTGAGAGGCTGAGGTAGGAGGACTGCAAGTTGAGCCCAGCCTGGGCAACTTAGTGAGACCCTGTCTTAAAATGAAAAATTAAAAAAAGGCTGGGGATGCAGTTTGGTGGATTCAAACGCCCTTGGCTCAATCTCTAGTATTCCAGAACAAAATGAAATAATAGGCAGACAGAGAGAAACTGCTCTTGTGGGCTAAATCAGAACAACAGAAGTAGACTACCAGGAGAGATATGAAGGGCAGACTTGGCACAAAATAAAACTTAATCTTGATGTGTCAAATCGACAAATCATCATTCATAATTTGTATTAAAACTGTTGAGCTGGGAATTTAGCTCAGCGGCACAGCGCCTGCCTGGTAAGCGCAAGGTCGTGAGTTCAATTCCTGGTACCGGAAAAAGAAACTGTTATGGTACTAGGAATTAAATCCAGGGACTGCCCCATGCTTGCTGAATGCTCTAGCACTAGGCTCAGCCACAACCTTTATGTTTTTTGAGACAGGGTCTCACTATGTTGCCCAGGCTGGTCTCAAGCCTGGCTTTCTTCTGCCTTAGGCTTACAAGCAGTGGGATTATAGGCACCACTGCATCCAGCCACAATTAGTATTTTTAAAAATGAAAATGTCTAAGGCAAAGTTTTCCATAATAGCAAGACAGTCATCTGAAAACATGAAAATTAATTTTATTTACCTAATGTCATCCACTGTCCAGAAGAATCTGAAAGTAACTGCAAATTTGGAATAACATTTGGGTCTTTGAAAAAAGCCTAAAATACAAATTGGAGGGGAACATGTTAGATAGGTTATTATAAATCACAATATAAATCAACTTCTAAAATAACTAGTAAAATCTCATTTAAATTTCAAAAGACAACTGTAAATTGGTAAAATGTCTAGTAAAAGCAGCTTTATTACATTCAAGTTGGAACCTGAAGTGTGAACACTAAGTAAGGTTTTTGGGACTTAATTTAACAAATAAAAATAATAATTTACAGTAAAATTAGATTATATGTTTGAAAACTTTCATTCCTCTTATTTTATGAATTAATCACCATAATAACCATTTATACATTAGGTCTAAAAGTAACCATCAATTCAATTCTACCCAACAGGAATAGAGCAGGAATAGCTTTGCTTGCTGAAAATGAAAGCTTTCTATATGGCAAAGCCAACACAGCGGTGAAGAGTTTTAGTTGCAAGTACTAGCAGCAAATGGAAAGTTTATTAAAAGCATCTCAGGCGTCCGAAAGTTTTCAGGAAGTGGAGAACATCAGGCTCAAGGCTGAACTGTGGGAACGAAACAAAAGCATGAGGAGAACTCCCCTGCTGAGGAGATTCCACTCTTCTGCAGCCCCATCAAAACTAGGGGGTCATTATCACTTTCTTCTTCATCCAGGAACTAGCTAGGCCCAACTCTACCTGACTTCTAAGGTCAAGGCATTTAGGCTGCTACGGCCATAGACATTATCATCATCCCTTTCAACCAACGCCACTGCTATGCCGAGACTACGCAGCCGGAAAACTGGACGCCTCTGCTACCACCTCTGCCACTGACATGGGCTCTCTGGGGCCTTCCTTTAAATTGCTCACAAAGCCACTCATTCACTCATTCATTCATCCTGGGGATTCAACCCAGGACCTTTGCATTGAGTGGTATCTCTAGCCCCTTTAAAATTTTTTTTTGATAAGGATCTCAGTCATGAAATTGCCCACACTGGGCTCAAAACTTGGGATCTTCCACCCTCAGTTTCCCGGATTGCTGGGATTACAGATATTCGCCTCCATGCCTGCCCTTTTAAAAAAAACTTTTGAGACAAGGTATTAGTAAGTGCTTTGCCTGACCTTGCATTTGCAGTCTTCCTGCCTCAGCCTCCCAAGTAGCTGGGGCTACAGGCATATGTCCCTATACCTAGGCTCAAAACCTGTCTTGAACTGACCAGTCTGGTTGGTAAACCTGTCCCAGACTTCTGTTTCATGTTTGTTGCTGTGGACTGAATCTGGGACCTCACGTATGCTTAGTATTTGCTCTGCCAGATATAAGCCTCCAGCCCAGCCCAGTGTCTTATGTTCTGAATATAAGGGAATACCTTGAGTTACTTTGTGTTTTCTCCACTTTCCAAAAAACAAAACCCCACAGTTTACGAATTACCCCAGGTCACATGGATGTTCAAAAACTTCTGGGCAGCCACAAAACACAATACCCATGAGGAGTAATAAGAACAATAGACTGATTTAAAGAACAGTAACAAATATTATAAAGAGGGTGATCTGACACTTCCAATGGCTAAAAAAAGCTCAATAAGAAAAACTGAAAACTGACTTAAAGCTGCTCAAATACTACCAACGGGCATGTAAAAAACTGTCCATAAACTTATGAAAAGATGCTCAAGTTTAAGGGCAGTCAAAGAAATATAAATGACCCAGATATGTCCGGGCTTTAGGGAGAAGAAGGGGATGAACTGTTAAGCACTAATCAGTACACCCCTCTGCCCAATTAACTCCTGCTCACCTTTCAGGTCTAGACCTAAATGCTTTTTTCTCCATTAACCTTTTTTTCTGAACACCATTAGATTAATATTGCCTATTATGTACATGGATAGCAGCTGGTACTCCTTTCCTTTTCAGTACCAGGAATCGAACTCAGAACCTTGCACTTGCCAGGCAGGCACTTGTGCCGCTGAGCTATACCCCCGGCCCACTCCTTTGTAATACGGTATATTACTGTCTCCTTTTTCAGTCTTTAAACTCCACGAGAGCAAACGCGGTGTTCACTGGATTTCGGGATTAGGAAGGCAAGAGTACTTTTATTTAAGTGAAGGAAACAAGCCAGATACAGACGAATAAGTGATAGAGAATTGAGATAGATACCTTAGATTCCTCCTTCCAGAATCTTAGGAAGAGAGTGATTACTTGAAGAGAATATTGAAAAATAATACTTATTGTAACCATTTAAACAGTAAAGAACAATTCATAGAAAAAATCGTGTCGAGCATGGTGGCACAAGCCTGTAATCCCTACACTTGTGAGGCTGAAGCAGGAGGATCTCTGTGAGTTCGAGGACACCCTGCGGTTCATAGAGTTCATGGTCAGCTTCACCATGCCTACGCCTATTTCACTGTACCTGGCTAGCATCTGCCAATTTCCATCATGGACTTTAAATTGCTAACGATTTTAACACCCAGCAAAGAAAGATTACTGAGAATGTAGCATCCTAGCTGTCCCGAGCGGAGTTCAACATGCCACTGAAAAGACCACTCTATAAGGCGGAGAGAATGGTGCGATGGCTGTAAGGTGAAAAAGGACTGTGTTCCGCTAAGGGAAAGTAAGGTACACAGGAGGAGGAAGAATGATCAGATGGGAGCAGGAGCTAAACTAGACCTGTAGTCAAGTGAAAAAATTTTCATCTGTCCGTGTGTGTTAACTGTAGACTGAACTCAGTCTGATCCGTCAGGCAACCTCTGTACCACTGAGCTACATCCTCAGCCCTTTTTCTTATTTTAATTTGAGATAGGTCTTGCTAAATTGCCCAGGCTGGCCTTCAATTTGTAACCCTCCTGCCTCATCCTCCCCACATCTGGGATTACAGATTGGCGCCATCGCACTCAGGTAGAATCTTATTTGTAGCTTTATTCAGCACAAGAGTTCCTCTGTCCTTTGCTCAGTATCTTACTAGTCCTTAAGCCTCTCTCCTAAACGCCTTCCAGGCTGGCTCTTCAGGTGTCTGAACTCAGGACATCACCATACACTGTCTAGATCATTAACGGCCAATCTTCTAGAGCTTTCAATGATACGCTGCACCACACATGCCAGAGGTTTGCCCCAGTGGCCTAGATGACGGTTTCATGCTTCTAATCCACTCCACACTTCCGCCAAAGTGAGCTCAATGTTTTACTTATATTTATGGTCCCAGCAGTCAAATCCAGTGTGCTGTGTATGCTAGGCAACTACTCTGCCACTAAGTCACATTTCCATTGTTTACAGTCTTCTATAAGATCTCTCAGGGTCTCCTTGTTTGGCTAAAGCCCAAACTGCTTTTGTGGCAGAGAAGTACTTCTAAAAGAGTACCCCAACTATCTCACCACCATCCTGCAATTTTGCCTGACAAACTCCTTATTTTTCATCTCCTAGTTCAAGAATCTTGGCTTTTAGATAGTTATGGTAGTTATACTACTAATTTCTCTTGGTTCATTGAAAAGAAGTTTGTGCTAGTATGGTTTGGACAATTAAATGCCTCTATCTTGTAATCTGAGTAACTAGATAACAATATGTAATGTATTAATCATTGTTACCATCCTGTTACCTTGTTTTGCAATTTTTTTCTCTTTAAAATTAAAAAAATCTAAAACAAATTTTAAAATCCTAAAAAAAAAAAAAATCTTGTCTTTTGTTAAATCCTTCTCAGACCACCTTCATCAAAAATGGTCACTTTTGGTGATCAAAAATATGGTGACTACGGAAATATTTAAAGATTTATTTTAAAAATTGATTACTTTCTTTTTTTGTGTCACCAAAGTGTCTCGGGCCTAGGGCAATGTCATTGTTTCTCACTCTGCATGCAATTTTTGTTTTTGTTTTTACTTTTCCTCTTTAACAGGGTGTATTCATCTGCACAAATGGTGAAACAAAAGAAATGTTTGCTGTATAAATGCTTCCTTCCTTTCATTTACTCCCTCACAAATAAACCTTTGGAACATAGCTTTTTAGTTGAAAGAAAATTAAAAATCTGCAATTCTGGTTTAAGCAATAGCTTTTGTTTAGTTATGAGTGCACGCAGCGGAAACAGCAGGGAAGCTGGGTGTGGCGGCCTATCCTGCAATCCGGAAGGCTGAAGCAAGAGGGTTACAGTTTGTCTAGCTTTGGCAACATAGAGATTTAGGGAGGCCATGTCTCAAAATAAAAAACAAAGAACAGCTGGGGATACAGCTTAGCATGAAGGCTCTGGTTTTGAACCCTAGCAGTGGAAAAACAAACTAACAAACAACAATAAAACAAAACCAGCAGGGAATTTGGAATCAAAACTCTGTTGCTTAGGTATCCTTTTTTTTTGTATTTTTGAGACAGGTCTCACTATATAGTTCAGGCTGGCCTTGAGCTCAATTTATAACCCAGGCTGCCCTCAAACTCGCAACAATCCTCCTGCCTCAGTCTCCTGAGTGCTGGGATTACAGATATGTGCTATCACCCCGGCTACTTAACTTTTCTGAGTTTCAGTTTTCTAAGAAAATGGGGATCAAACACCAAACTTACACCTATTAAATGCTAAGTGCTGTGACCACTTTGTGGAAAGGTAAAGGGAGGCTGACGAAGGTTAAATCGCTAATGTCACATGCCTTGTAAGTACCAGAGGTAGAATTTGAACCCAGATAGCTAATTAGAGGTCAAATGAAGGATGGATCCAGACTTTAGAAGGCCTTAGGCTTATACAACTTGAACTACTCCAGGAAAACAAAACAACTTATTTTTGAAAAATTTCAAAAGCATACGACCATGTGAACATAGTGCTAGAATCTCTGTTTTTCTGCAAGGAAGTCAACGAGGGGCCCTAATGACTTATTAACTTTGAGCCTGAGATGATGGTGTGCCTGTAGTCCCAGCCACTACAAAGGCTGGAAGCAGGAGGAACATTTGACTTGGCTCAAAAAAAAAAAAAAAAAAAAATTAAAGACTCATTAACATAAAAATAAATCATCTTCTGGGGCATACTGTTAGACACATGCTTTATTTCCATCTAAGTAAGCTGCATGAGTAAAAATAATAGCCTTTTTTTGGTATTAAAATGTGGAATGACATTGTTTTGTGGAAGTAAAAAGGATAAACATAAAGCTTTAAAACTGGAAAAGTACTGCCTGGAAGTGTAGAAACCTGCTGTGCTTTATGGATGACTCCTGGAATGTTAAAGAACTCTGTACTGACCAACTGAAAACAGAAACCACCCTTCAATACCCTGCTCTGTGAAAATACGCCCCCAACATCCAAAGTCCCTTGGCCGGGGGGTGTTTCCCCTACATCTAGGACATCTGCTATATCGCCCACTGTTTACTGTGTTGTAGAGACTTTTTTTAAAAAACATTTTTAGCTTTCTAAACTGTACAGGCTTGTAAGCTGGAATGTGGGATACAATAAGTAGTCCAACCCTTAATGAATAATCCTGAAAATTTTTACAGCACTCTAAAATTCAGTGAGTTAAAATATGGATCATCTTTTTCAATTTTTTTGGTACTGGGAATTGAACTCAGGCCCTTGCACTTGCCAGGCAGGTGCTTATGCCACTGAACTATATCCCCAGCCCTAGATCACCTTTTTCCAAAAAAAATTTTAAAAAATTAAAAAAAATTGAGAGCCAGTACTGGTATAAATGAAAATTATAAGAAACTATGAAAATCTAGGGGCTGGGGATTTAGCTCAGCGGCAAAAGCGCCTGCTGGCAAGCTCAAGGTCGTGAGTTTGATTCCCGGTACCAGAAAAAAAAAAAAAAAAAAAAAAAAAGAAACTATGAAAATCTAAACATGAGTATTTAAGAAATGCCATTAAGAGTATTACATTCTAATGACATTATAAACTATCTCAGGAAAAGGGATGTAGATATTTAACCAAGTTATCTTGTATTACAGGTTGAAAAAGTGTCCCCTCAAAACCCATGTCCTTTCGGAAACGGAGAGTGATGTTAGATGAAGACAGGGTCATCACAGATGTTAAAACAAGGTCATGCTGGAGTGAGGGAGGGCTTAATTCCACATGACTAGATCCTTCAGTACAGAAGAGACATAGACACAGATGTGAGAAAGTCCTATGCGACCTAGGCAGAGGTAGCTATTAGTGCTGCAGATGGAACCAAAAGCTATAAAGGATTACCGGCAATCACCAGCTAGAAGAGGCAAAGGTTTGGAAGGATAAGGGACCTATACCAGTCGTTTGAGCTTCAATTTCAGGTTTCCAGAACTGTGACACAACCTGACTTCCTTTTCTCTATCCCTTCTTACTGCACTGGTAGGGATCTGATTTTTTCGGTTTATTGGCAATGTTGCCAAGGGCCCCTAAGATCCCTGAGAGCAGGGACTCTTGCTTTGTTTTTTGTCCTCTCCCCAGCACCTGAGGAAATTTAGAGCATTTCATAGGCCCTCAGTGTTGGAGAAACAGTAAATTATGCCGACTACTGTATAAACTGAAGTCCATGCTTACAGGACATGATCGGCAGAAAAATGAAGATAATTTCACAAATCCTAAAATTATTTCCAAATTGACTGAGGGGTGAGAGAGGAGGGAAAAAAAGGTTTAAAAGTAATGATTTTAAGGAGCACACAAAACACTTCTGGAGTGAGCATTACTCCGTTCAAATTATGTCTAGCTAAAGATTTACCTTTCCTAATCACTATGCCATTATTTAAAACTTTTTTAGGGAATTTTTTATTCAGAATTCCAGTAGAGCCTGAAGTCCAGTTCCCAGGGTGGATGTGACTTTGAGAAATAACCAAAAACAATCTGGTCCTAACCCTGCTGAATAAAGCCAGTGATAAAGCTGGGTAATAATATTAAAAATAAGAAGTGCCTATTAAAAAAAAAAAAAACAGAAAGCCGGGCGTGGTGGCGGACGCCTGTAATCCCGGCACTCGGGAGGCTGAGGCAGGAGCATCTCTGTCAGTTTGAGACCAGCCTGAGCTACAAAGTGAGTTCAAGGCCAGCCTGGACTGCACAGCAAGACTCTGTCTCAAAAAGATTAAAAAACAAACAAACAAAAACCACTTCGAGAACTGGGAAGTTCTCCTTTAAGGTAGGATCTAAAAGTAGGAACAAAATAAATGAAATCGAGTTCGAGACCAGCCTGGGCTACAAAGTGAGTTCAAGGCCAGCCTGAATCGCGTAGCGAGACCCTGTCTCAAAAAGACAAAAAACCAAAAACAAAACCATGGCTAGGACAAGGTCCTGAGTTCGATTCCTGGCACCAAAACACCCCCCAAAAGAACAACAAAAAAACCGGAATAAATGAAATGCAGAACACATCTACGGCCGGGCGTGCTGGCTGGCGCACCCCGCTCCCTAGGAGGAGGCCGAGGGAGGAGGATCTCCGCGAGTCTGAGCTGCAGGCCACGCTGACCTCGGCAGCGAGACTGTTACGAAAACAAAAGCAGAGCGAGGCAAGTTCCCGGCCAGGGCGAACGCGGGCTCCCTGCGGACGCACACGCCCCGGGGCGGGGACACCCACCAGCGCGAAGTCGTCCCTCCGGTGCGCGCGGAAGGTGCGGTCGAAGCCGAACGCCTGCGCCGTCACCCTGCCCAGCATGGACCTGGCGGGAGGAGGCGGTCAGCGCGGGCCGGCGCGCCCCGCCCCGCCTCCCCCGCCCGGCCCTCGCCCTCACCACTGGCGCAGCCGGCTGGTGGTCTCCGGGGCGCTCAGAGACGGGAAGGTTTTCTGAGGCAGGAACCTGAAGGAGTAACCGCCCGGAGGGCCTGGCTCCCCGGCAGCCATGGTGCTCGCGGCGCGCGCCAGGGGGCGGACCGTTTCCATAGAGACGGGGCCGCGCTCGCGGCGGGCGCACTTCCGGGGCGGGGCTACGATGGGCGGGGCTACCGTCCGTCCGACGGGTCCCCGCGCGGCCACAGGGCGGGGCTGCGGGCGGGGTCTCGCGTGGCCCAGACCCCTGGCTGTCCAGCGGCTGCAGAGCGAGGGTTTGCGGACAGAGGAAATTGCCGGCTGATACTTGTCACTACCTCTTCATGATCGTTATTCAGCGTGGTCTGCGACGCTGCAGTCTCATGCCATTACCAGTTTGACGGCGCAGGCGTTTTCGAATAAAGACGATTTCGAAGTAATTACCTTTATATGTGTTGGAAGACGAGTGCCTGTGAGACTACTTGGAAAATGTTGTTCTGCTATCTGGCTTTTTTCCTTCTTTAAAAGTAACAGCTGAAGGCCGGGGATATAGCTCAGTGGCATAAGCCAGTACACCCTCCTAAAATAAATAAAAAAGTAACATCTGAAGGTTGTAAAGATACACACTACATGACAACATGGTGTTTACTGTGAAATAATTATTTCCTGTTGAAAATTGTTTCTGTCTATAGTTTCTGTCGTTTTTGTGTCTGATGGTAGCACATCAGGGCTTCAGCAGGGGATAACCTTTCTCCCCCTTTTCTTTTCACCGTTAAGAACCGGTCTTGGTTATTTCCTACCAGCAGCAGCAGCAGGTCAGAGAGAGACAAGACCCACATGCACACAGAGTACCGCTGTTCTCCTTATTTAATATTCCATTACGTTGGTGTACTGCACTTCAACCTTTTGGGTTATTTCTTTTTTTTTTTTAATTTTAAAAATAAAAGGAGGAAAACATTAACAGACAACCTTTTACAAAATAGCAAAAGAACAGTACAGACAATACAGCGTTACAAACTGGTAGGAAATTAACAATGCTTGTTGTATTACATATCGATATCTTCAAAGTGGTTTCTCATGAAAACAGAGACATGCAGTATTGACCAATCAAGGACTCATTGAGGGTTAGTTCTAATTTAAGGCTATGAACATTCCTGTGTGCTTTTTTTTTTTGTTTTTTTTTGAGGACCTTCCCTCACTCCTGAGCACATCTTTTGATGGACTCGTGGACTCCTTCCACTTGCAAGTACACCCAGGACGGGAATTCCTCAGTTGTACAGTATAAACATATCTAGTTTTGCTGCATGCTGTCAAAATTTTTTCCTTACACCTCAACCAGCAATGTATGATTTCCAGTTGTTTAGATATTGTGAATAGGAAGAAAATGTTCAAATGGGGAGGGGCAGGGGGGAGGGGGAGGAGGAAAGGAAGGGAAAACAAAAAATGAGGAAGGAAGGAAAAGATGGAAACAGATTTTGTAAATCAGGAGGGGAAGAGGGGTTGAAGGGAGGGGAAGAAAATGGGGGAGCACAATTAAGATATATCATGTAGACGTGCAAATTCCCTATAATGAATGTGATCATTCTGTATTCTTAAAATGTACCAATAAGCTTAATTAATTAAAAAAAGATTTCTAGTTGTTCAACAGTCTTGCCAACACAGTATTGTCAGTCTTTCAAAATTGTAGCTATCAGCTGGGGATTTAGCTCAGGGGCACAGCACCTGCCTGGCAAGTGCGAGGTCGTGAGTTCGATTCCCGGTACTGGAAAAACAAAACAAAACAAAACAAAATAAAAACCCAAAAGAAACCCAACAAAATCGTAGCTATCTGGCTAGGTGGGGTGGGACACATCCCTAATCCCAGCATTCTGGGAGGTTGAAGGAGGAGGATTGCAAGTTGGCCAGCCTGGGCAATTTAGCAATTTAGTAAGTTCTTGTCTCAAAATTTATTTTTCCCCCCAATTTTATGAGTATGTGTTTGCAGTACACAGTGATACATTCCTTGTGGGGAGTTGGTACGTGTACATGACACATCTTCATTCTTACTTCATTCTTCTCCCCTTTTCTTCCTTTCCCCCATCTCTTGGTTCCCTTCCCTTTTGCAAAAAAATCTCTCCCTATTTCCTATTATCTTTTACTTTGCTCTTTATTTATATTTTAGGTTTCTCTTGTAAGAGAAACCATGCTGTATTTAATCATATATATGTGGGATTCTACTGAGAAATCAAACCCAGGGACAATCTATCACTGAGCTATATTCAGCCTTTTATTTCTATTTTTTATTTTGAGACAGGGTCCCAGTTGCTCCTTTCTTTGACCAATTTTTTTCCCTTTCATATCACATCGTCTATTGTACATTTTGGGTTTTACTCACTCTTTCAGGTTCCTACACCAGGGAGACAATATGATGTTTACACATTCGGGTCTGATTTATTCCACTAATGAGTATGGTATCTAGTTGCATGCATTTACCTACAAAAGCCTTGAGTTTATCTTTTTAATAGTTAAGTAATACGCCATTGTATAAAAATAGATCTTTTTAAAGCATGCCTCAGTTGATGGGCATTTGGGTAGTTTCCAAGACCTAACTATTACAAATTGTGCTGCTACATTGCTGTGGTATCATGTTTTTAATTCTTCTGGGAAAATACCCAGAAGGGGAATAGCTGGATTAAATGTGGCTTCTAATTCTAGTTTTGTGAGGAATCCTCAAACTGATTTCTACAGTGGTTTCACCTATCTACACTCCTACCAGCAGTGGAGTAGGGTTCCTTTTTCCCCA